TTTTCTTTTTGTCCCATCAAATTTATTCATAGAAATTTGACTAACTTAAAAGGATAAATAAATTTAGTGTGTAATTAAAAGAGGAAGAGAAAAAATGCAAAAGAAAAGAAAAATAACGACAAAAAACATTCAGCAAAAAATACCTTTTTTTTCCTTTCTATCTTTAAATTGGTTTTCCTAAGTGTTTGACATTGAATTTCAACGAAAATTTTGTTGTTTCAGATCAAAAAAAGAAAAGAAAAGAAAGAATGAATGGTACCGGTAAAAGTGAGTTCATCCTTTTTTTCCCATTGAAATCTTAATCATAATTCTGGTACAAAAATTGCTCAGTTCATCAATGTAATCAATTGAATTTTATTTTCATCTCCAAACAGAACACTACTTGAAATCTTTCAAAAAAAAAAAACCAATCTATTTGTAGATGAAGGGAAAAAACTGAATAAACAGTAAAAAAGAAACTGGTTTCATTAATAAACAATGACACAGTTCTGTAGCAACAGATAACATCACTAATCAAATCTTCGGACTTTCTTTTACCCCCTCCCAGAAACACCTGTAACTTTTAACCTTTTTCTTTGAAGGTGAACAATGGATGTCAGACGGAAAAAAAAAAAAAAGGAGAAACAGTATGGAGAAACACCGACCATCTTTGACTACATCCTTTGCTGTACCAATGCTTCTGAGGACCACGTGCAACGGGCATCGGGTCGCATGAATCACTGTCCGATAGGATATCTAAAATACTGTTTAAAATGTTAGCAGGTTTTAAATTTTCTAAGAATAGAAAAAAGTTAAGTTTTTTTGCATTAAACTTGCCGGTAAACAAAAATTGGTCAATATTTTATCTGACATTTTGGTAGTTGTAAACAGGATGAATAAAATAAGAACTTCATTAAGTTTGATCAAAAAAAACCATTTTCTAGAACAATTTTATGTACTTCCAATCAGACAGAAAAGGAAAGCAGAATTAAGAACCTATTTTAAGCAAAGAAGGAAAAGGAATAATTCAAATCAGTTCTTTTAATACCGTTATCCATATCAAAGCAGTTTTCATCTTCTTCATCCGAATCCGAACTTAACATTGCCTCATCATCAGATTTACCCCATTTCCTCTTACTCAAACGATGTAACTTTAGGGTTGTCCGAGGCCGAAAAATTTCTGAATCCGACATTCTGATCAAATGGATCTTAAAGAGAAAAAAAAACAATTAATCGCTATTCTTCTTTTCCTTTTTTTCTCCTGTATCTTTAGTTTTGCCAACTCCAGCAATCAAGCTAGCCAACAACAACAGCGACAACAACGTCAGCACCAAAGTTCCAAAATAACATTAACTCGATAACGAAAAGAAAATGTATAATACATCGAAGAAAAAATGAGGAAAAAAATATATTAAAACTTAAATCAACACCGTAAAGAAGCGAATAAGCAATAAATAAATTAATGGATTGGAAACAGAAACAGTAACAACGAAAAAGTTATCAAAAAAAATTCCTAAAATGTGAGTAATTTTTAAGAACTGTAAAAGAAAAGCCTTTCGGTTATATGGCAAATGTCTCATTGACCAATCAACCAAATAGTGTTTGAGAAACTAAGAAAACCAGGAGAATAATCCAAACAAGTTGACAACAGCGACGTCAAATCGCTCAAAGGTGGTACTTAACCATATATTTAAAGTTTTTCGTTGATATGGGAGATAAAAGAAAAAAAA